TCCCTTCTCTCACCTTGCCGGCGGGGCCGGGGGGTGCGGGGCCGGTGCCGATGGCCACCAGGCTGGGCCCCGCGTAGGTGCAGGGCAGGCGGGCACGGAAGCGCTGCCGCAGGGTGTTCATGACGCTGCACTCATTGAGGCTGATGAGGGCGGCCAGATCCTCGGCCTGGTCCAGGCTGGGGGGGTTGGTCTGCGGGAAGAGAGACAGAGACCCCTCTGCTGTCATGCCAGAGCCGCTGGCACCCCGACACCTTGGGCACAGCCAGCCCGGGGCGATGGGAGAAGCATCTTTGTGCCCGGGCGCTGTCCTGCGGGGGCTGGGGAAGGGCTCACCCTCTGCACGCTGTCCTCGTCCACCTCGCTGACGGTGCCATCCTCGTCCCGGCGCACCCTGAGCCTCCCCGCAGGCAGCTCCGGTGTCCCCACGTCTGGCTTCAGCTGTGTGGCTGAACGAGGGGCTGGTGAGTGTCCCCGGCGTGGGGACATGCCAAGGGGCCAAACCCAACCCCGGCCCCACCCGGAGCCTGCTCTGCCCCCGTCTCAGCCAGGGCAGAGGAGGGAGAGTTACCGAGTGTGAACCCGTCCTGCTGGATCAGCCAGACCTTCTCTGCTTCGTACCAAACGTCCCTCGCAGCCTGTGGGGAGGGGAGAGGGCAGTTGGGCAGGAGCAGGAGGAAAAGTGAGCTGAACAAAGTGACTCTGCCCCACGGACAGGGACATTCCCACACTCCTGCCCCTCTGCTGCCCACCCAGCCAGGCCCGGGGTCGCCTTCCTGCCAGCCCCAGCCCACGGGAACGGGGGGAGCTGCATGAAACCAGAAAACTGCATCAGTGCCCCGAAATCCAGATAACACCCGAACATTACCTGGTCCTTGTCCGTGCTCTCGCCCGATGCCTCTTTATCCTGGTCCTTTTCCATGCTCTTGCTCATCTCTTTGCTCCTTCCTGACGTTTCTTTAGCCTGGTCCTTGTCTGTGCTCTTGCCAGTGCCTTTGCTCTCTTTCAGCATCTCTTTACCCTTTCCCAGATCTTCCTTCTCCTTCCCCACCTCTTTTTTCACATCTGTGGACTTCTCTTGGGTTCCTCCCAGCTCCCCCTTGGGACCCTCTGATTCCTCTGTGGTTTTTTCAGGCTTTTTGATTTCCCTTGGCTCCTTCTTGCCATGTCCAACGTCTTTCTTCATCTTCTCTGGCTCTTTCCTGGCTGACAACAGCTCCCTCTGGGGTTTCACCTTGGCTGGAGGCCCCTTGTCCCCTTCTCTTTCTTGGTGCTCTCAGGGACTGTCCCCTTCTCTTTCTTGGTGCTTTCAGGGACTGTCCCCTTCTCTTTCTTGGTGTTCTCAGGGACTGTCCCCTTCTCTTTCTTGGTGCTCTCAGGGATTGTCCCCTTGGGCACGTCCCCTTCCTTCACTGGGACTTTGCTGCTGCGCTGGGGGCCCTGGCTGGGTGCAGGGGCTGGAGTTGGGGGGCTGCCCCCCAGGAAAGAGTCCTTGGGGCTCTTCCCAGGCCACAATGGCTTTCCCACCTTGGGAGCCCCTGGCCGAGGGGTCTCTGCTGGCTTGGGGGTGGTCTCTGATGGTTTGGAAGAAGCCTCTGCTGTTTTGGAGGATGTCTCTGCTGGTTTGTGGGGCGTCTCTGCTCTTTTTAGGGGTGTTTCTGCCAGTTTGGGGGCAGGTGCTGCTGTTTTGGGGGATGTTTCTGCTTTTTTGGGGGGTGTCTCTGCCGGTTTGGGGGCAGGCACTGCTGGGCCTGGTGCAGGGGCTGGGGTTTTGCTGGGCACAGTGCCCAGCACAGCCTTCTCAGGGGGCAGCTCCTTGTGCGGGGGGGCTGTGACCGCCTTGTCCCCCGGGGCTGTGACCCCCTTGTCCCCCGGGGCTGTGACCCCCTTGTCCCCCGGGGCTGTGACCCCCTTGTCCCCCGGGGCTGTGACCCCCTTGTCCCCCTGCCCCTCGGCCTTCAGCCCGTTCCGCAGTGGCCCCTCGCTGGCCGCCCCTCCTCGGGCCTCGCCGTCCTTCCCCGCGGGCTGCAAGCAAAGGAGAGGAGCCTGCTGTGACACCTGGGGACACCTGGGGACATCCAGCTGGGGACCCCCAGCACTCACCTCGTCCTTGGTGCCCACCCTGCTCTCCTTCCTCCTGCGTGCCGCCTTGGCCTCCTGCTCGGTTTCCCGCACCAGCTGCTTGATGAACCCCCCGGGGATGACCGACAGCAGCAGGGGGGGGGCAGACGGGGGTGGCCCCCGGTCCTCGTCACGAATCTGTTTTTGGGAGCAAAGGTGGGTCACAGGGGCAGGAGCCAGCACAGCCTGTCAGTGCAGCAGGGCTGAGCACCCTGCTCAGGCTGAGGCACTGCCCAAGCTCCCCTGTGAGACCACCAGGCTGGCTCAGGGATGCTGTGGGAGCAGAAGCACCGAGAAGAAAAGCCCAGAGAGAAGCGCTCAGGTTGGTGCAGCCCCCAGCAGAGCCCTGCCAGCTCTGCCCTGTGCCACAGCCCTGCGGTGGCCACAGGAGGAACAGTCCCGGCTGCAGCCAGGCGAGAAGCAGCTCCAGCATCACCGCAGCCACATGCAGCCCTGCAGGAACCTCCGTGCCGGGCCCCAGGGCAAAACCAGCCCCGCTTCCCGCAGCTTTTCCAGCAGCAGCACCATCAAACCCCGCAGCCTCCTGCCAGGCTCACCCAGGCAGGCAAAAATCACTCAGAGCAGAACACCCAGAGCCCGGGGGCCGGACACAGCGCAAGGAAATGCACGGGGAGCTGCAGCAGTGACACCTCCCAGCACCCAGCCCCGAAACACCAGCGGTGCCAGCCTGGAGCGAGACTTTCCTTCTGCTCCCAGAGCGCCAGGCGCGAGGAGATGGCCATGGTGGCGGCGAGGCAGGACGGTGCTGTGCGGCGACACGTGGGGACACGCCGGGCAGAGAGAGAGGACAGAGTTAGCCAGGGGCTGCTGCTGGCCCCGGAGCTGTGCCAGGCCGGCAGCGCCGTGACCTTGCCGGGCACTGCCCACCTGAGCTCGCCCAGCGTGGCAGGGGACGGGCGGCTGCGCTGGGGAGGGCGAGGCCACCAGGGCAGCGTGGGGATGTGGTGGCACAGAGGGTTGGTGGCACGGGGGCGATGGTGGGACCCCGCGGCCCCAGGCTGGGTGGCCGCAGGAGCCCGTGCGTGCCCCGCCTGGGGCTGAGCCCGGCTTCACCTGTCGGGATCATTCATGCACCGAGCGCGCCGGGGCTCCCCGGCCCTGCTGTGCCTCTCCGGCAGCCGCATCTCCTTCTACAGTAAAGGGCAGGAGCGGCCAGGAGCCGGCTGGGAATGTCACTTGCCTTCCCCGAGCGCCACGTGCCCTCAGGGACCGGCGCTGCCCCCG